AACTATTAGAAGAAAAAAATATCTCCTTATTTTAAGCCACTGTAAAACATTTGGTCATAATGAAATTGTTTTGAGTTGTAAATATCATTTCAATTTTTTAAAAGGCTTTGTTTCATTCTTGGAAAAGTTTTCTTTTTCTTTTATGAAGTCAAGTTAACATGTACATGTATATAAATTTGCATTTCAAATATCTGAATTGAGAACCATCATGTTTAAGAATTGATTTTCAAATGTTTAGAAAAATATATCAAACTTGATGATTTAATTCTTTCTTTGTGAATCCAGTACACAAAAAAAATAATTAAAAAAATTGAAAATTTGTAAAAAATCATTTAATATGGTCATTTATGCCTTATTTATTCATATATCTCAAATGTGTTGGTAATATGCTTTAAATTACACTAAAATAGGAGACAAACTATCCATATTTTTTTTAAATTCATGAATTTCCTTGTAAATGATGTAGTAACAATTTGTAAACTGATCAAAACATCAGCAGACAGCTTGTCACTGATGTTTGCCAGGTCAGGTGTTGCATTCCCAAATAGCAATAAGGTTTATTGACTGTTAAAGATGATAAATAATCATTAATAATGTTTAAGATGATGTAAGCATACAAAAACACAAGCTCTTATGATCTTTTAAGTCAATCCCTATAACTTTAAAACAATGTCATGAATGAGTTGATATAAACAAGAAGATGTGGTAAGAGTACCAATGAGACAACTCTCAACCCAAATCACAGCGCATAAAAATTTAACAATTATAGGTCAAAAACATGGAGACTTGGCTCACACCAAACAACAAGTTATAAAGGGCCCAAAAAATAACTGAAAAACCAACTGTCGAATCAATATGTAAAAACAGAAACCAGAAACACCTATGAACAAGTTTCTACACCAACAAATGACAAACACTTAACAATGGCATCTGATTTAGGACAGGTCCATACAAAAAAATGCAGCATTTTAGACATAATATAACAGGAGCCAATCTTCACCCTTACTGGAGACTGTAATGTAACATTACAATATAAAAAGACTCACTATAAATTATCAATTGAAATGGATGAACTTGATCACAAAGACATTTAAACAAAAACAAGTAAGCATACAGATATATGCATACACTCAAATGAATGCCAGTTTGATATAATCATCTACATGTATGACACAATAATCAATATAAACAATATAAAACTTATATGTTTCATGAAAATTATTAAGTTGGAAATTTTCTGTTGGAAGTTAAATTTGCCTGGAAATTTTCTTTTGGAAGTTAAATTTGCCTGGAAATATTTATTTCCACAGGATACTTTCTTGGAACTTTTAGTATTATTGTCATTTTTTTCCTGGAATATTTTTTTAGAATTTTTAAAATATTCTGGAAATTATTGCCAACTAAGAGAATATTTTCTGGAAAATCTGAGATTTTTACAGATTTTTTTTCTGGAAATCCTAAACCTTCTATAGGGGGGGTATGGATTATTTCTGGAATAGCCCAATATTAAGTTGAAATATACAAAGAGTGCTTGGTGTCTTTCCCACAAACAACTAATGCTGGATTGCTAATTAATTGCCATGAATGCAGTTAAAAGAATATAAAAATCTAACATTTAACCTTATTTGTAACGCTTGAGTAAAAATGACTGGATGTATATATATATTGTACATGGCTGAATTAAAATTACCGCATTATGGCGCATACCTGGTTTCTTCAAATGAGACCAATGGAAATAGACCTGACTGTTGTCAATACTTGATTGTTGATCATTCTGATTATCTGTCCAAGTACAAAACTATGCTAACAAGAAATGGCACATGAGCATATAGAAAGTACTTGAAAAGTTTCAGATTGTTTGATGTCTGAAGTAGTTTCTATCCTGTTCAATGACTGAATGAGGATCATAAGATTTAGGGGGAAGGAAACACTCTTATCGTGTTTAAATCACGAAAACCAATGCAATAGTCACATAGTGTTACTTCGTCCCTTATACCCGCCCTTATACAATGCATCTGAGACTACTATAACCTCAGACTATAACATAGTGTTATAATAGTCTCAGAATATATGTAGAATAATGCCGGTAACATTATAACTTTATCATACATTTATTCTCCTTTGGTGTGGAATAAAAGCAAATTACCTGCAGTGCTTCTATTTTATTAAGTTGTGTTTCAAGCAAGCATTTGTGAAAACAGTACTATTTAAAGTATTTTTGGGCAAGATAGAAAATTACAGTACAGGGCCTTTTGGTGTAGGTCTATTGTTAATGATGAAATTGAAAGAGGATACCAATTAAATTAATTTATAGCCAAAAATCTAATTAAACGAGAAAAGCCAGAGAATAAAAGATAAAACAACAATAACTTACCATTACACATAAACTGACTGATCCAGAAATTTTCATAAAGGGGGTGGGGGCACTGACTGTTAAAAAGCAGGCCTCACTAGTCATGCCAGTGGCGGATCCAGATATTTTCATAAGTGGGGCCCACTGACTGCCTAACTGAGGGTCCCGCTCTGGTCATGCTTCAGTGATTTCCTATATAATCAACCAAATACCCCCTGGCCCCCTCTAAATCCACCTCTGCATGCTTAAGTGATAATCCCTATACAATCAATCAAATTTTTCCCACAAAAAGGGGAGGGGCAGGGTGCACTGAATTCGCCTCTGTGTGCAACATGAACATCCAAAATACATGAATGAACTCAAGTAGTGATAGTAGTGAACAGTTCGGAACTTCCCGGGGCTGCTCAACATGTGGCAACCTACGTCTTAGTATAATTGCAAATTTAGTAAGTAAAATTTTGATTTGATTCGACATTTTGACAAACATGATAACATAAGGGACTGACGACATCATAAGATCGATGTAGGATAAAAAAACTTAAATCAAATAGTTTGGGGGTGGGGTGGGTGGGTAAAAATTGCTGCAAGTTTTGTTTATCCAACATCAATTTTACATATATATCAAATCAATTTTTCCCAAATTAAGTGAAAAAGGGGGGGGGGGGGGTCAGTGAATTATCCTACATTGAACTTTTGATGTCGACTCCTCCCTAAGATCTGGTGAGCTTTTCGTTGAATATAGGAGATAGTGATTAAAGTATTTGCAAGCAAAGTTCATAAGTTGAGAATTATAAAACAAAATATATTGTTTAACCTTGGACCAATAGATCAAGTCCAAAATTTAGCCATTTCAAGGATCGATCAGGGTGATTATGTAGCACTGGCTATTATAATACTTGTGTAGAACCTTGTATAGAGTAAATCAAGGAGGCAGTAGGAAAACTTATAAGATGTTTCCTAATAATCATGATTACAAAAGAACTTGACACGGATTCTTAACTGAAGGTCTGTCCGATTAGTAAAATTTCGAATGCACTTAAATGAATACATAAGTGACCCCCCCCCCTTAAGTCTCCGCCAAGACTGATAGACTCCTTAAGCCAATTCTGTAACCAAGAGCATTCCTATGTTTATATTTTATTTATTATTGAGTTACTGTTTAACCTTTAGTTCTTCTCTGATTAGAGCTAGGATTTGTATAGTAATAATATACAAATCCTTGATAAGAGTAATCCTCGTTTGTCAATTTTCCATAATTCCGCGCGCCCCCCCCCCCCCCCCCCTCGCTGAGCAGGGGCGGATCCAGAAATTTGGAAAGGGGGGGCGAAGTTTTTAAAAAAAATTTGGACCTTTTTGGGGCTAAAAAACATAAAATAAGTGTAAAATGCACTTTTTAAACGGTTCCTGGCGTGGGGCATGTATATTCTATAGTTGCTGCAAAGTGTAAGGGTTGGACATTTTTTATGCTGTATTCTCCCTATTGATTGTCTATCATAAAATGATAGTATGGATCCAAAGCTATGTACTGATATATTTGATGTGGGACTTGTCAGTAAAAAATAGACATGGAAAATTCTCGTTTGTTGTATGTTAAGTTAGCATAACCTCACAGATTTCTTGTTGTAAACAAGAAATACGCCGGGCTATTCGATGAAATTTACAATACAACCGACACGAGTTAAACAAGCAATTTTTATCCAAATGTTTGGTTGATATGTTTCACCCAACAAAATTAAGGGAGGTGAGGGGTTCCAAATCAACCAAAGGCTACGAATGAGTCCGAAATGACAACGAATTTATGAATGACGGTCGACAAATGGAGACATAAAGGCCACACTCAGCAGTCAGGTTGCAGTCTGGTCTTGAAAAAAGTATTCAATATATCAGTTCGGCGAAACAGACATTCCGGTCAGACATGCAAACCCCGGCCTCAAAAAAATACGCCCGTTTTTTATTCATCATGTTCATTTAATGCTAGATAATTCTGTTGGAAATTTTCGTTTCTAATAGCAAAAAAGTGGACAAGATTATTGTTTTCAATCCAGATACGGCCAGAATTTTTATTTAATGCAAAAATCAGAGTCAGATTTTTTTCTCTCAAATACCTTAGACTGCCTCCTCAAATCAAATGGTTCGTACCTTAGACTTTAAATCTATCTAGAGCTTATACTGATTGGGGATCATTATTCAGCTATCATGTTATTTTTAAATAGGCTGGGGCGTTTGGGGTTAAACATGTTTTCATAGGTAAATAATATTTATTGCTGTCGATTTTTTTTCATGAGAGTGTAATAGAGTATTACTTTCTGTTTTGTTGAATTGTGAAATAGAAGTCACTACGTTCTTGCTCAATCCTGCGTCGCTTTGAAGGTATCATGGTTGTCATCCTCAGCCTAAGCAATGTGTTACTGTAATTTGAATTTCAAAATGACTGAGTGACGTTTTTTTGACGCACTGGTCAACTCCACCATAGCGAATCACATGACTTTGACATAATCAGTAAATACCAGCAAAAAATATCTTTATAAGTAAAGAATTGTCGCATAAAAATTAAATACACGGGAGATGGCAAAGTTCACGACGTCTAGTCTGATTAATCATTTTATAAAAAAAAAAAAAAAAAATCCAAGCAAAGGGGGGGGGGGGGGGGGGGGGGGGCGTACGCCCTCTACACCCCCCTCTGGATCCGCCACTGTCAGCAAACAGTCTTGTATTTAATTCTGAATAGAACAAAATGTAAAATAAGTGAATAAGTTATAGATTAAATAATAAATAAATAATTAAATATTCTTTATTTAGTTTTTTCTTTATTCTCACTTCTTCCAGAGACATGTACGAATGTACATGTATGTCTCTGATTCTTCATGGTCTTATATTAAGGATTTGTAGAGTATACAAATCCTTGATTATAACAAAGGCATATAATACTCAGTGTACCACTTCTGAACTTTTTTGTAATTATTTTCTCTACTTAAATCCCCATTCTTGATTCCAGACCGGGTTCCGGACTAACTCTCATATACGTAAATGATCGTAAATGTACGAAAGCTTGACACGTCGAATACGAAAACCCGGAAATATTTTCTCCGTTGCCGTTTTTTATACTATGACGCAAAATCCATGGACGCTCGTCTGCTGTTGAATTCATGTTTTACAGTTTAACAAGGATTTGTATAGTGTCACTGTACAAATCCTTGAGTTTAAAGAATGGAAAGATATATTATAGTCAGATAGATAATACAAAGAACTCTAGTTTTTCAAAACCGATGGGTCAAAAAGTTATTAGTATGAACAGATAAATTGAAATGGGTTGCTTGTCGATTAACTGGAAGAAACCGGGGAACGAAAGAAATTTGTGTTTCTCTTAACGGATTACGTACCCAATATTTTGTACTTGGAAAGCGCAACGAAAGGTAAATATTATCATGTACATATTTAAGAAGATGCTAGTGCTATACTTTTCATGAAAAAAAATTTGACTTTATAAATGTCATCGCATGCAAACCCGAAAATCAGTCAAAGATTGTCAAGAACGGACGCAAGTCAACTCGACCCACTGGCAAAACGCCCTACTTTTTAAACAACACGCCTCCCTTTATAAAAATATCCCACTCTTGTTAAGGGAGCTACCATGTGAGTTTTATTGGGGGGTACTGGTAGGGGTGTGTTATTTGAAAAATATGCGGAACTGGAGTTCTGTCAACTTATAAGTTAAAAAAAGCTAGGATTTATGTAAAGAATTACCAGGAACGAATATAGTGAAAAATTAACTGGCAGGACAGAGATTTCAATTAAAAAAAATGCAGGATAACATTCTTATCCTAGCCCCCACCCCATAAAAATCAAGTGGTGGCTTCCTTACCAACTCGCCCCGCTTTTAAAAAAAATTGCCCCACTTATGAAAAGGGTTAAATCCGTAAAATATACTCCTGTCAACAATGGCAACTCGCCTAACTTGGGTAAAATCCAAATGAATATAGAATATAAAAAAAATAAAGGTCTGCCAACTCGCCCGTATTTACTTATCTACCCAGAAATTACTGATACAAAAAAATCGAAATTTAATATATGATATCTATTGATTTAAAATGATGTTTCACTTCTTAAAATATGATTGTAGATTCATTATTTATTATTAAATTATTATGTAATTTATGTATTTATTTATTGTATCATAATCTATTTGATTCTTTTTTTAGCTGACTCAAAATCATGCATGATGATGCTGTTTGGGCCCCCTGGTTGTACATAGGAAGTGGACTCCTCGAGAAGATGAAAGGTCTGCTTTACATGTATGTAATGTAAATATAAAAATAAGAAAATGCGGTGATTGCCAATGAAAAAAAATAGAGGAATTTTTAAAAGTGTAAATTCACTTGTTTTTCAATCCTAATAAATCTGTCATATTGTAATGATAATAATGTTTAAATTACGTAATTATTTTCAAAATAAAATATTGTTTACACCAATGAGAAAAGACAACTCTCCACCAGAAATCAAATGACATTGAAGTTAACAACAATAGGTCACTGTACATCCTTCAACAATGAGCAAAGCCAATACCGCATAGTCAGGTTTTAAAGACCCTATATGAGAATCACATATTTGTAAATCAATTCAAACCAGAAAACTAACAGACTAATTTATACAATGTAATATATAAAAAACAGAACCAAAAAAACAAAATATTATAAACAGCAACAAACGACAAACTGAACCACTGAATAACACTAACAGGCTTCTGACATGAGACAGACGCATTCAAAAGGTTGTGGTGGGGCTAGACTAGTAGTTTGTGGTACTAAACCAACCACCTTAGCTGGGATATTGGTGTGAAAAGGGCTTTTAAAGCAGATTTATACATCCCCAAAACTAAAAAGACTAAGTATAGATCTGAGAGTACTCCCAATTGCTAACAGCTAGTTCAAAGCCAATAACTTTCAAGGTACATGTATTTACCACCAAACCTTGTCAGTGTTCCCGCCTGCCCTAAATAGAAGGGCGGCCCGCCCTTGATGCCCTTACCCCCGCCCTTCTGCCCTCCAAAGTAAAAGAATGCACCCCTCTGCCTTTTCAAAAAAATAAAATTTCCAAATTTCATGCCTACCGGCGTTTCCGGTAAATTGTTACCTGATTGTGTAACACTAATTAACTGACAATGGGATTAAGTTAAATACCTAATGCTTTGGCAGTTTTATCACCTTTGTTAATGATTGTTTACTGCTAATTAGTGGATTTAAGATAATTGAACAAATACTAGATATTTAATACAGAATGAAATGTCCACATGTTATCCATTTGTAATGTTTATGTACAGCATGTACACCTGAAAAAATTTATTTCAGTAGGCATAACATAAAAAATAAAATCTTAAACAATTTTAAAGGCATGTATACATAGTTTTGACTTAATTGGTAAAAAATGTTTTGTTTCATAACCATGAGTATGAAATTTAAAGAAGAACCAAAGAAATTTGTACTTTGAACATAACAAGATTCACTTCCTGTTTTACTTCTTGTATTTTATAATCCTCCTGACATAGGAGCACTCAACAAATTTATTTTTAACAATGATGGAGAAAAAAGTAACTGTTTATACCTTCTGCAATATATTATTGCATCAATATAATATGATCATCTCCTGTCTCACCTGTTATATTTATAAAACTCCTTACCGAGGAGCACTTTGGTGTGCACTTAAAAATACTTTTTTGTAACAATTCAAATGATAATAAATAACTCTCAATAACATATATACTATATGTTTGAACAAGTAATTTAAATGTAGATAATTTAATTACATTAAACATTCAATTTTGCATGTATAACTCCATCTTTCAAAACTACTTGTTTATTTTTATAGACTGGTATAAGTAATAAAACATTGAAATTTCTGATGATTATTTTCCTTATCAAATGTACAAGTTTGTTTAGATTAACATCAAAATGATATGCTTTGCTTCATGGTATGATAATTTGATAAAAGAAAATTCTTATGGGAACCAACATCAAGAACACATTAATTTCTGAATATGGTTTAAATACAACTAATGTTCGACAGCTGAGCCTAGCAATATTCAAGGTAATTTATACACTGTCCAACATTGCCCTTAAAATCAGGGTTATAACGCTAAAGTGCCCTTTCAGACAACTAGCACCCTTCTGCCCTGAGATTCAAGCTGGAACACTGCTTGTCTCGTTTAGTCCATTTCTCAGATATTACCTTATATCAAATACTAGTTCAACTTTTGGTATAATTTAAACATTTTTGAATGACTTCAAATTTCAAAAAGTATCATGATTATTTAAATAACTTGATGATAAGTTGATGCCCAAAGATTGGCATTATAAATCATGACAGATTCAGAGATCCAATTATACATGTATATAACCGCTTTTGTTCATCCCTTCATTCAAGGGTCATATGGATTTTATATGATGGATTAGATCATTAGAACATTAAAATGATTAAATACTTTGATTTTTTATAGTCATTTTTATACGCCTGTCAAATTTTTTACGGGACATATTATGGTATACAAATGTCCGGCTTCCGGCCGTCTGTCTGTCTGTCTGTCTCTCTGGCGTCCACATGTCGCACTGTAACTTGAGAACCACTTATCCAAATTTAATGAAACTTAACATAGTCGTTTCTTATGATGGTCAAACTATCTGCATACTTTTTGGTGAAAATAAGATTTAAACTTTCGTAGTTACAAGACTTTATAGCTAAAACAGGGGTGTGTTTTTTTCACATGTCGCGCCGTATCTCAAAAAACATGTATTATTGTTGCTTAAAACTTTACACACTACTTATCTATATTAATCTTAAGATCTGTTTACTTTTTGGTGATGATTCAAAATTTTATTTTAGTTATTGAGTTTTTTGTAAAAAAGGGGGGTTTTCACATGTCGCGCCGTATCTCAGAAACTATTTATGATTATTGCATAAAACTTCACACACAAGACGACGGGTGTATCATGCGCTCGTGGCACAGCTGTTTATTAGCTTTTCTCATCACAAGGCGTCTGTCGTCGTTGTCCGTCGCTGTTAACTTTTACAAAAATCTTCTCTTCTGAAACTAGGGAGTCAAATTGAACCAAACTTGGCCACAAACATCATTAGGATATTTAGTTAGAAATATGTGTCAGATGACCTCTCCTGCTAACTAACATGCCAACATGGCTAAAAATAGAACATAGGGGTAAAATGCAGTTTTTGGCTTATACATGTGTAGGACTCGGAGGTGCGATGGGGACGCTGAAGTGCAATGGTCCACGCCGAAGTGCGATGGTCCACGCCGAAGTGCGATGGTCCACGCCGAAGTGCGATGGTCCTTTCGATGAAGTGGGATGATTTTGCATGACGTTTGATATTGTGACGTTTTCAAATACAACGTTATGAAACAAATGGATTCACAGGCAGGAGAATAAGATTTGTAGATGAAGGTTTCGTACGTACTAAGGAAAGGAAACAGAATGAAACTAACGATTTAAGTAACAGTTTTGAGCATGTCTTGGTCTTATATAAAATTTGACTTCTCCTCAAGTTAACATCACATTATTTTGTGTGGCCAACTTTTAAAATAATAAATTAATTATTAGCAATGTTTTCGTTATATCAAGTAGCGATAATTTTGTTTTATTCTCGAAATGAATCCGGCATGCTTTGTAAGAAAACGGGCAATCTTGGTTATTTTATTTTGTTTAAAGTATTAATATTCTGCTATGGGTTAGGCCAAAAGAAACCCAAATGGTGCCAACTTGTTGTAATTCTCAGTTTCTGCTGCTTAGCGAAAAATCAGCTAATTCTCAAGCTAATGACAGAACAAGCGTCATGTCTCACTATATGTCAAGCATAAATGTAATCGGTAGTTTTTATTTCTTAAAAACTGTTATGATTTATTAAATAAATAGATGCATGAGTGTTGTGAGAAATTTCGTAGCTACTGACATGACAAGAACAAGTTACTAGTATATTTGATAAAATTAAATGTATCCTGCTTAGTTAGTACTACAAAGAGCGCTGTGCTATACCCGTTTTATTTTTTATCGCACTTGAATGCTCATTATAAAAACAATGTCCCCCAACTCGAATCCATTATACTTAATCTGAGCCATCCAGTCTATTTTCTGCCTCATACTGTTGTATACTAAGCAAAACATTAGCAAATTAAAAATTAAAGTCTTTATTTTGACCTGACCAGAAAACCTGGTCTTCCAAATGCGAGGCTAGCACATTAACCACTACACCCCCACATTTAAAAATGGGATTTCAACTTCAGACCATTGCATTTAGCTAGTATACACAACATCACAGTTAGACCATCGCACTTTAGCGTACCCACCAAACGCACTTCAGCATATCTAACAACAAGTTAGTGTCACAATGGACCATTACACTTCAGCGTGTTAACCAACGCACATCAGCATGGACCATCGCACTTCGGCGTGACCATCGCAGTTCGGAGTACCATCGCAGTTCTGAGTCCTACACATGTATCTCTGAGACTAAAGCATTCAGAGCAAATCTGACGTGGGGTTAAAACGTTCACCAGGTTAAGTTCTATCTGCTATGAAATTTTTAGACAAATCAGACAACCTGTTGTTGGGTTGCTGCCCCTGAATTGGTAATTTTAGGGAAATTTTGCAGTTTTTGGTAATTATCTTGAATATTATTAGAGATAGAGATAAACTGTAAACAGAAATAATGTTCAGCAAAGTAAGATCTACAAATAAGTCGACAGGACCAAAATTGTCAATTGACCTTTTAAGGAGTTATTGCCCTTTATAGTCAATTTTATTAACCATTTTTCGTAAATTTTTGTAATCTTTTACTAAAATCTTCTCTAAAACTGCTCGGCCAAATTTAACCATACTTGGCCACAATCATTATTGGGGTATCTAATACTATTTATTATGATTTAAACGTTATTTTACATGATTTCCAAAACCACAGTGGATACTGGTGAGTGACTGAGGCTCTTGGAAGCCTCTATTTTTTCAGGGAAAGTTTGTTGGTCTAGTTTTAAAAGATCAAACTAAGCCAATTTTGCCGGATCAAATATTAAAGGCAATTTTGGCAGATATTATAACTTCATTTCATTAACCATTATTTCTTTTAGCATTTTCAATGAAAGTACAAGTACTTTGAGAAGTAGGAGAAGCTAAGCAACAGAACAGAATTCATTTGGGTCATTGATGTCTAGATTATATAGTGGATTCATAGATTGTCATATTGATTTATGTGCATATGAGCACAGAGGAGCAGTAGTCAATGAATAATTTTGTGATGAGAGGTATGTTATTAAAATGATGACTTTATTTGAATATTTTTTTCTTGTCAGACTCGGTACATCATGTACATGTAGTTTCCAAGATTTTTTTAAAGTTTGAGGTCATAGAGTTCAAAGTTTTGATTCTTGTTGTGGGCAAGTCGAAAATTATCCATGTTAGAAGTGACAAATTATTTTTTTTACAAAACCGTAAACAATTTGTTGATATTCGTGATGAGGTCAGTTTAAGGAAACCAAGAAATAACTTATGGTAAAGTCATTAATATTGTGCAGTTGTAGTAATAATACTCCATAGTACTTAACTTAAATGTTGACAAGTTTCTGATTCCTTGATACAGGTCTGAATTTGGATTGTAAATAAATATTTGACACATTATAGTTTTCTGAATAAATGTAGTCAAAGAACTTGACATTGGTTACACAGCTACTTTTGCATAGCTACTATTTCTGTACCAAAATTATGTAGTACTGGAAATCTACTTTTAATATTTAGTACCATTTTGTTACTTTAAAATTATCATGATATTAAGTTCCTGTATTTTACAGTACTTGATTTGTACATGAAATTTAAGTACTACAGTTTTTTATTCATGTTATTACACCGTTACATTTTCAGCATTTTGATAGTTTGTCTATTTCAAATCTCTTAAAGTTATGATTTTCAAACATGGAATATTATGATCACTGTGGGTATTATTTCTGTACCAAAATTTTTAGTACAAAACAAGTACTGTAAAATACTGGTACCGTACCTAAATATTACAATAATTTTTAAGTAAAGAAGTAGTACTAAATATTAAAAGTAAATGTCCGGTACTAAAGATTTTTAGTACAGAAATAGAGTAAAAAGGATAAGAATGTACGAAAAATACTCTGGTTACCAACCAATCAAAATCCGGCATTACTATGTAAGGTTGAATTTATAAGGAAAATTGCATTGCAAGCAATCCCAAACAGGCCTACATTTCTTGTATATGAATTATGAAAAAGTTTAAAAGAACAAACAATTTTTTTATACAACCACAATATGGGGTCGTATACTGCTACACAGTATACTGCTATCACATTGTTGTCCTTTAAAGACATTTGGTTTCTGGACAAAAAACTTTAGTTTAAGTGTATATGGTACTCTTTAATCTAAAGATTCAATACCCAGTGGTGGATCCAGAAATTTCCCCCCTATAATGTGTCAAATATTTGATTACAATCCAAAGTCAGACTTATATCAAACTTGAATATTGTGTTCATTTTTACCCCAACTGTTCAGGGTTCGTTTCCAGCTTTGCTTGGGAAACCGTTTATTGAAGTTTATTTTGCTTTTTGACAGAAAATTTATCCATTGCCAAGGTACACTGAAAGGTTTTTCTTTTATTAAAATATGCACATATATTTATATTAATTTTTTATAAGCTTAACTGTTGATCTTCTTTCTGTTGTTTGCTTACATTTTGTTTCAATTCACTCAAAAGTAAAAGTATATAGTAAAGGTATAAATTAGTGAGCATCAATTCATACTACATGTAGTTTTTGTCTGGACTTCTTGATTAAATTATTTATATATACAATTTTAGCTTGTTACCAAATGAAAGGAAAGTACAGTATTGACAATGATTGATATAACTGGTGAACATGTATGTCATGTAGGTGTGAATGTCCTGCAAAAAAGAACTGATATCAAAGTAAGTTCATCTGTAGAATTGCAGTTAATTTAAATAATTTGATGTTATCTACCTAAAACTGTTTCAAGTATAACTGTACCTGTACACTGTTGCTTATTTTTCTCACTTTCCCATGTAATGTATGCATCAAGGCATCATTACTTTGGCCCTTCTACTGCTCCATTACACACACACTTGAGATGTCAGAAGTTCAAACTATCATAGCATTTACATTTCAAACTTACACAGCTACAATAGTACAAGTAATCTTGATGTACAGTTCTAAAGATGCATATCGAATGTGCATCTGTAAAGCTGTATATAAACTGTACAGCTGTAAAGCTGTATATCAACTCTACAGTTTACAAACAGTTTTACAGATGTACAGTTTATATACAGCTTAACAGCTGTACAGTTGATATACAGCTTTACAGATGTACAGTTTATATACAGCTTTACAGCTGTACAGTTGATATACAGCTTTACAGATGTACAGTTTATATACAGCTTTATAGCTGTACAGTTAATATACAGCTTTACAGATGTACATTCGATATGCATCTTGAGAACTGTACATCAAGATTACTTGTACTAAAGTAGCTGTGATATAGACATCAATCTTATTCTACGAGAAGAGAAAAAGGGGGGGGGGGGGGGAGGAATCAGAATCAAAGGCATGTATAATAGATGTGCCATTTGACTTTGGTACACTCAAAATGATTGCTACTACCTTGACAATGTCCAGTACGGGGTGACATCCTCCGCTATTGCTTGCAATAGCAAATTGAGTGTTAGAATAACCTTAATCGCCATTCATTTTTTCTGATGTAAGAAGAGGAAATAGAGTATATTTCTCAATCTTACGTGAAAAATTGTGGGTTAGATATTTGACACTGAACAGCACAAAACGTATAGACAAGGAATAAACCAATGCAAAATGTGTCATTTTAGGCTATACAAAGTATTGATCAATCAATCAAATCATGATTAAAGTGATCAAATCATGATAAGAGATCAATCAATCAAGTTTTGATATCAAACAAGTAATTAATCAAGTGCAGAATTCGAAAAAAAAACGTCCCCTCACCTTTTACAAACTGTCAATCAGTCGATCAATCAATCAATCAAACGATCGATCAATCAATCGATTGATTGATCAATCATGATCACAAACCATCAATCAACCAATCCACATATCTTTTCTGATCAATTTATGAAAGAAAATACCTTTAATTCGCTTTTGAACAATCGACTTTTGCGTATTATTATGTCACCCCTTTGATAAAAGGGGGGACATATTGTTATTCTACGAATTATTCTTCTACACTTTTTGTCCAGCTTAGTTCTCGGAGATGACTTGACATACATTGATAAAACTGCTCCATAATGACAATCCCCATGTGCAGATGTGCACTTTGGGTTTGGAATTTTCAAGATGGCTGCCGTTACCATGGAAATGGCAAAAATGTGAAAAACCGAAAAATGGTCCAAATTAAATGAAACTTTATAGCTGTACAGTTAATATACAGCTTTACAGATGTACATTCGATATGCATCTTGAGAACTGTACATCAAGATTACTTGTACTAAAGTAGCTGTGTACCTAGTCAGACTGGCCTATATTATGTATTGATAAGTTGTTATCATTTAGAATACATAAAATATTTGCCACTGGACATTAAAATAAGCAAAAAAAATCAACCAATTAATGATTTTGCATTATCAGAATGAATTTGCAAACATATAGCAATCAGATTATGTACATGGATAAACCTTGGAGCTTTTTCAATGAACCAGGTTTAACCAGCATATAAATATAAAAAGATGAGGTATGATCCTCAATGTGTCATTTAAAAGAACAAAGGACATTATTATTTATATAATATAATGCTATTTCACACTTTCAATTTTGTTTTTTGATCAGAATGTTTTTTTTGTCAAAACATAGCCATAAGTATTTCTATTCTTGGCAGCATTGTCAACGATTTGTATAAAGCTTTATATTTTAGAAGGTAGAAGACCTGGCCTTGAAGTCATAAAACTTTTGAGTCAGATTTTTGTACTCATACTCCAAAATCAACCAATCAAAATGTTTGATTTCATGTTTCGAGCATAATTTTTGTGCTCCAAGCACTGAGCAAAGTTTTATGACTTCAACCCCTGGACTTCATATCTTGTTTGCAGAGGCTTATGTTACAAAGATTCTGTCTGTCATATGTCCATTGTCCTCGATCTCATTTTCATGGTTCAATAACTGCTTGAAAAAAATATATAGTTCTTTTGTCATGTGAATTTCTCACTTATGACATGTATGAGTTATAGGATATTATAACTATATTTGGTATATGGGTTCCTTGCAACATCTACATGTCTGTTAGAAGGGTTCACCTGACTTCTTCTTCACTTTTTTGATCAGTGACAAGGTCCATTTCTCAAATCCTATAAGCAGTAGGTCAACTGTACATGTATATCAGTCTGGCAAGTCAGTCTGGCAGGTTTCATCTGATCTTGGGTATGACCTCATTTCATTTATCAATGTTAAGTTTTTGTATTTTTGCTGATTTTCAAGTACTACAAGCTTAAATATTAATAATAGGTCAACTATATTTGGTGTATAAAAAAATCGTTTGGTGTAGATGTCTGTCTGATAGGATTTATCCGACCTTCACCTCATGGTCAAAGATCTGTAAAGTGTTAAGATTTTGTGATACTTTTAGTAATTTTACCTTTATCTTAAAGAATTTCAACATAAAATAAATGGTCAGCATGTGCACTCTAAGTCTTGTTGAGGTACTGGTTACCTATGAGTTGTACGCTTAACATGCTTTGACAATTTTGTAAATACTG